ATGCAAGCATAAAAACAATGCTTCTATTATAGAATGCCTCTGTGTACATTATTCCAGATATGTGTAAAGCACAAGTATTTACCCATAATGGATACTTTTAACCTTTCCTGAGTTAAAGTCAAGGATGTTGGAGAATCACAGACAGGAAAGGACAGTTTGGGTCTTAGAGAAAATTAAGGATCACCATCAGGATTTATGCCTGCAGAAATGGATAAGAAAAATGTAATCCATTGCATTGATGTGTTTTGGTTAGTACCATCATGCTGAACTAACTTTACAAGCATGAACCTCTTAGGAATCAGTTATTGTCACTGTTCTGTTGTATGGTGATGGTCAAAGTGGAGAGCTGTGGAAAACAATTCAGTGCACTTCTCTCATACTGTAAAATGTTTTAAAAGAGCTAGTCTATTCACTGGATCTTCCAAGTTTCAAAACTGACTTTAGGAATTATTCTAGAAAGTGTCTTCATTAGTGAAATGAAATGCCTACCTTGTTGAAATGAAACATGCCTTATTGCCGAAGGCATGTATGCAATATTCAATTATATGAATTCAAAAAGATCTTGGCAGCAATTTGCTCTGAGACAATATAACTGAATCCAAATAAATAAGCTCTAAAATTCCTTATAACTTAAATAAAGCATTCTCTGACCCATAATCATTCAAATACAGGAAAAGTCATAAATGAATACTTTAACTACTTCCTTTTAGGGAAGCTTAAATACAGGACATAATGATACTGAGACTTGTTCATTAACTGCTACTTCCATTTGTTAAGCTTCCAAAAATAATTGGTTCAGCACTGTACTTTGAAAGACTGTAAAACATCTGTGTGCTGCATTTATGTTTTTTACATACTTTATCACCTCCATTTCAGAAATGTGATCCAGTCAAAGATTTAAGTATTTTGAATGTGGAAAGGTGATTAACACATGAGGACATCCACCTAAAGAGGTTAAATGGTTGTTCAAGGTTACTCAGGTATTTAATGTCAAAAGCAAGATGAGAACCTGGCTCTCCAGATTCTCAGTCTACAAAACTTTATTATGATATATACACTGGTTGTACTGTAATTCTCATTTTTTTTTGTAATTTGAGTGATTTTTATATTGTAATCAAGTTTATCTGTAAGATAGTCCTATATTCTCTGGGCACCTGAGTTTCTCCATCAGTAAAATAAAGGACAGTGGTAATTTAAGCTGTTCCACTGTGATTTGCTATTGTGGGGAAAAATGATAAATGTAAAGGCCATAAGAAATGAACATTTAAAAAATTTGCATTTGTTGAATGCCTACTTCAGTTTTTTCAGTTTGCATTTTACAAACTATGTCTCCACAGGAACATGAGTGTATCCTTGTGATCTCATGGGACTGGGTTGGCCATAGATATGGAAAGATGGGTTGGGATAAAAGTTGATGTATCAGAATAAAAAACATTTTAGTCCGTAATTGACCTCTGTTATTACTGCCAAAGAATAGGGGTTACCATCTTTAGACTTTAAGAATTATAGTAAGCATAACAGAGATTGGCAAGACCCTAAAGCAAGCAGAAGTTGATGTCTGTGTCTCTGTGTCTGTGTCTCTGTGTGCATGGCCTCACTGGGAAACAAGAAAGGCGGTCCTTAGATGGAATTTATTCATGGAATGCCTTCTTTACTGGTTGGGCTGCCCCGTACTTCAATTTATACTTTTTAATATTGGCACAGACTACACTGGCATTTTAGGGTAGGGCCCGCATATCTGATGCCTTTTGTGACTGTCTTCTGTGTCAAGGAAACTTAATATCCTAAACTTTGCACCTTATTGTGGTTTAGAGACCTATTAATTCTAGATAATGTATAACCATTCTTTGATCAGTTGCATCCTTTCAGATAAAGATTTCAATGTGCACAAAACTGGGGCATTTTAGAAGCCTATGGGAATAACTGGGAAACCTTTTCCGGAAAAAAGTCCATTCAGCAGCCTTGATATAAAACCAGTGACCATATGTAAAGACAAGGTGTAATGGTAGTGGACATCTTGGATCCATATTTTTGTCATGGTATTGGATCCCTAAAATGTGCATCTCTTGCTGTTTATGGATGCCTTGTAAAGAAGGAAAACAATATGTTTCTACCTTGACACAATTACTAAGTGGGAAAAAATTGTCTTCCAGGATTCAAGAACACCTAATCTCTCAAATTACAGTTTTCTTCTTCCCCAAATAAAACACTGTATTATTCTTTCCATCCCACCCTCAAAACTTGTTCACAGATTATTTATTTATATAAATAGTCAAATGACTCAGTATCACAAGTTTTACCTTTATAAGAGATACTTTGATTTTAGCAGTATTGCTTATTTTAACTGAAAGTTGGAAGTAATCCCTACTTCACAAAATTTTGAGCATCAGCACTTTCAGAGTACAGATAGAGACAGTGAATACATTCTTAATAGTGAGGAAAGTACTTCATTTCTGCTTTCTCAGAAAGAGATGGTATGAGTGGGTAAAGTGCTATAGATGTGTCACCTTTCATGTTGCTGCCTGGGTTTAGTGTTCACCAATATTACACACTCTCTGTCAGATGCATTAGGCATTGAGCTTTAGTAAATGAAGTTATCTTCCAACTTGTCATATTTCCCAAGATGCCTCTTCAGGAAATCTTCAGCATGCAGAGTCTAGCTGGGGGGGCAAGAAGCAATATTCTTTTTCATCACCAAAAACTTTGATATATCATTTACCAGCCTTATGTACTGAACTCCCATATGTAATTAAATAACTTCAACAACAAATACACACACATGAGAAGCTGGCCATATTCTGACTTTCTAAAATCAGATGTATACTAGCCCAAACAAATAGTTTGTAATTTTTGATACAGGGATGAAGCATAAAGACTATCCAAAATCACAATGATAGAAAGTATATCCCCACCCATTTTTATCAGTCATCCCCATTATACAGAATGCTACCATGTGTCACCTCATTGTATTAATGACACTGATAGTTTCCAGACTTAGAAATTTTATTCTGGATGTTACTTCAAAACCAATTTCAAATGGAAACATTTTTTTCTGAGTTGGTGTTTATCTGGAATGAAATGGACTAACTTTGGGAGTATTTATTGTAGTTTTGAGATTTTTATTACAGAGAAGTAAATATAAAAGTGATAATAAAATGACTTTTCCACATAGCACTTTACATTAAAGATTGTGAAGGATAATTCTTTCTATTTAAAAACATAGGATATTTACCTCACAAAGAAGTTGAGGTTTTTAGGTTCATAGACTTAGAAAAGATCATAATTCATGCACATTAAAATTTATTCCCAGTTGTACATTTTAAAATTTTGAACATTGTGGGTAAAATTGCAATATTTCCAAAATCTCTCGCCTGGCTTTAGTGCATCTCCATATCAACAGGCATTTCCAAGGGGTGGAGAGAAGTAGTCCATCTCCGTATCAGTGGGTATTACCTGGGTGACTGAGGGCTTATCTGGACCTGAGAGATTGGGGGCAGGTTTTTCGCTTCTGCCACAGCAGGAGAGAGAGAAAGATGCTGGACAGCTTTTTAATAAGTAATAAATAGGTTTTAAACTTTACTTCTCCCTTTGGCTGATTTCGGTTTCAGCAAGGTATTTTGCCCCAGGATTTCCTCTCCTGGAATTTATGGACAGTTTTTTTATTTTTCCAGTTTTGTTGAGAGAAATTTATGTATGACATTGTATAAGTTTAAGGTATGCAACATAGTGATTTGACATGTGCACATATTACAAAATGATGACCACAGTAAGTTTAGTTAACATCCAGCATCTCCTGCAGAACATTCTTCTTGTGATAAGAACTTTTAGGATCTACTTTCCTAGCGACTTTCAAATATACAATACAGTACTGTTAATGTACTGTGTATTTTTATTTGTTGTGCGTAACAAATTTTTAAAGATTTATGTTCATGATAAAATGACTATTCCCTATATAGTTCCAATAAATATAAAAATAGACCCATGAGAAAAAAAGTGTTATAAAGGTATTTATTTGTATTTCCCTCTGTGTTTTTCACACTCATCCTTTTGCATTTCAGAACTCTTGGATCTAAACAGAACGTCAGTCTTTCACAGCCCTTTTGGATTTCTTGATCTCCATACAATGCTACTCGATGAGTATCAAGAGAGGCTCTTCGTGGGAGGCAAGGATCTTGTGTATTCCCTCAGCTTGGAGCAAATCAGCAATGGTTACAGAGAGGTACGGAAACATCAAACTCTATTTTAAGAGGGACAGAAAAGTGATGAGGGAGGTAGCTTCTTGCACGGGTGTTACTTGGATTCGTTTTTTTCATTGTTGGCCGCTTTAACATTCTGCATAATAATATTATTGGGAGAAATAAAGAATTCATTAAAATGAAATCATTTTGAGAAAAGTTTATAAATTAACGAAAAGGAAATTTCTGTCATAGCACTATGTTTGTATTCCCAGAAGAATACAGATTGGTGCACTAGGCATTCCTCTTTGGTGATGGCCCTTGTCACCACACCCACAGTCCTGAGAGCTGGGTTTGGAACATGCTGATCTACCTGCAATCCCTCGAGGATTTATTACTTCCAGAATCGCAGCCTGAAGAAATATGAATAAAAGATCTTGCTATTGCTAATTCACGTAGTTCTGTTGGTAACGTCACTACTTCAAATGATACTCTTTAAACTTGTTGGATTGAAGTCTATTAAAACAGGCAACTGGCCAACATTTTCAAGAAAAGGTTAACTATGATAAGAAGAAAAATAGTTCTTATAGTCTAGACTTACACAAAGTTGAATGGAAGTACACTTTTCTGTGACCCATATCAACCTTATATAAAATATATAGCAATATTTAGACCATATTTTTTTGCCATAAATGTATGTGTTACATCATGTGTTACATTTTCTTTGTATGTATGTATACATTTTCTAAATGTAAATGTTACATGTTCTTTATAACATTTATTTTTGTGTTTGTCTAAATGATCAATGTCCATATTTTGGAAAGTCATTTAAAAACATTTATGAAGAAAAGCAGCATTGCCCTTCCCTCCCAGTCCCTAATCCCTAGAGAAAGTCATTTCAAACTTCTCCTGTTTCTTCTGGTTCTTACCTCTATTTTCCTAAAGAACATTTGTGTACTCTTCTTTCTTGATATTGTTTATTTTAGACAGTATCTGTTGCCATTCTCTTCAGGCAAATGAGGATTTTAGCTTTCTTTTCTTGTAGTAAAATAGCTAAATACCTGTTCAACCCCCCAGTCATCTGCTCCCTGAGCTATATTGTCCCCAAGATAGCTACACCACAATTTTTAGTTAAGTTATAACTGTTTACATCATTATTATTAGGAAAATAGATCACACATTATTTTTTCTCCCTGGGATTAGATAGTACCCTTTTCTTCATTTGCTTAGATATTTTTATCACTTTCACTAATTTTTAACCAAACTCTCTCCCAGAGCTTTTCTACATCTCTCAATGTAGTAAATTATAACCAGTTGCCATCAGTTCCAGGTTTTTGGCATTTAAATTAGAAATGTGCTTCCTGGCACTCTTGTCATCCCGGAGTTTAATGCCACCATCCTCCAGGACTGTCCTCTGGGGCTGCCACTTGCATAGTCTTCTCTCTGAGTTTATTATGACATTTTACTGAAACACCCCTCCAACTAGCTTTTTGAAGAAGAATCCAGAGTCAAATTTTGAGTGTTTTATATTTGAAAATAATATCATCCCACTTCACACATAACTGATAGACGAATATAAAATTACAGAATGAAAATCATTTGCTTCAGGATTCTGAGTATCTTGTTCCATTGTTTTCACACATCCTCTACAGCTGCTGAGAAGTCTGATGAAATATAAATTTCAAAGTTTTGTATATAACCTGTTTCCTGCTGTTCTGTATCCCTAATCCTGACCCCAGGCACCTATGTGTTTTAAATTTTTGTTAAATTTCTCTTAGATTTGATCTTTTTCTCATCCACCGCGGGCCTTCTACAGGGGAGCCCATGACTTTCATCTCTGGAAATGTTCATTATTTCTTTGAAGTTTTTCCGTCTGTCCATTCTCCCCCTCATTCTCTTTCTGGGACTCCTTTCTTTAAGTCACTTTTTTCCCCCCCAGTTGTCTGGCCTTGCTGTTTATTATACAGAATTTGAAATGATTTTCCTGATTTCACCCCCACCCGTGCCCAATTCTTACTCTCTGAGGGACTTAGATTTCCAATTCCTGAGAATTTCGGAAGTTCTTTTCGAGTCAGCCTGCTTATTGGCTCCCTTCACCCTGCAGACTTAAATTTCAGCTTTGCTAGTTTGCCAAACCAGTCAACACTTGACCATATGTTATAGAACTTCCGAAATGTTGCTGATATTTCTTTGGCATCTCTGCTCAAGTTCTTTGTCCTTTTTGGATTATGTCCTTTCACTATCATTTTAGTCCTTACACACTGGAGGGGAAGCACATTGTGTGTTTGACTTGCTTTCCTTTTTTTCTATCATCTTTAGTCTTATTTTTCAATACTTCTCAAAGAAATGATCTCTCTTTATCTCTCCATGTATGTATATAAAAATATATACAGTATTTAAATTATACACATACACACACATACACACATACACACCATCAGTGTATCTCTAAGACCATCAGTGACCTCCTCCTTCCAGTCAGATTCAATGGATTTTTCTCTCCCTCCTTGGATGATCTTTTTCTTACTGACTGTGGTACTCACCGTATGGCTTTCTTCTTTTTCTCTCAATTAGCTAATCTGCACACTCTGGTTTCTGTGAAGGCATATCCAATGTAGGGATCACAAATGTAGGGGCCATAGAATAATCTGTGTTGTGGCCTGAATTGTATACCCCAAAATTCATATGCTGAAACACTAACTCCAGTACCTCAGAATATGACCACATTTGTGCCTTTCATCAGGTGATTAAATGAGGACATTAGGGTGGGCCTTAATCCAGTCTGACTGGTATCCTCATGAAAAGAGGAAATCTGGAAACAAAAAGAGACAGCAGGGATGTACAGCCACAGAAAAATACCATATGAGAGAATACCAAGAAGGCAGCCATCTGTATGCCAAGGAGAATGACCTTAGGAGAAATTCTGCCAACCCTTTGATCTTGGACTTCCAGCCTCCAGAAATTTAATAAAACATTTCTGTTTAGGCCACCCACTCTGGTATTTTGTTACAGCTGCCATAGCAAACTAATACACTCCCCATATTAAAACTGCAAGTATATGAATATGGAAAGATCCTTCAAGAGATCTGACACCCAGAAAATTAAGAATTGTTGCATTAAGAAGTAGTTCTTAAATTGTTGTCCTTAGATCATGTTCATGCTAACTTTCATGGATTAGACCCCTGGAATCCACATTAATAACAAGTTTTGTAGATGACTCTTAATGTATACAAATTTGCATGACAAGTTTCCCATGTGGCACTAAGACCAAGAGATAGCAGCTTCCCACACTAATGTGGAACCCCTTTAGAGTAGGTGAAATTGTATCACCTACTTATTCTCCTTTATTATTTTGTCCTAACTGTACCCTCAGGCTTCTAATGCTGGAATGACTGGGTTTTATGGAGGAAATGCCCTGTGAAGACTATCTAAGAGACCTGGAGTGGTGAGGTTTTAGGAAATGCATCTTCTGGAGCTAAATAGAATAGTGTGTGGCCATTGAAGCTTCAGGGTATCTAGCAAGGACTCCAAGGAATGTACACAAATTATAACATTGAATAACTTTGCTGCATTTAAGGGTAAATGTTTATTTTGTGAGGCCTAATATATATATATATACAACTTGGTGAAATCTCTCAGAAAGTATAATTCATTCAAATGTAAATTTCAAAATTGCTGAGGTGACTCGCCGGGCCACACAAGGGCCAGGAACCAGCGAGGAGTCCTGAGGCTTCGGCTTTATTAGCTCAGAGGTGACATCATCCCACCTGCATTTGTTATTTTATTCTTTTCCTGCCTGTTTCCACAAAATGATTAGCAGTAAGACTGCAAACAGGCCCGTTGTGTTTGTTTCCAGCAATAGCAGAGTTAGAGTGACGTCTGCTTCACAGGCGTTCTGTTTGAGAGAGTCTCAAGAATGCATGTTGGTGCCTCACGCTCTCCAGACTCTGATGATGTGAAATGTCTGCTCCTGGCCAAGCTCTCCTCCCGTCTTTTCTGGACCTTGCTTCCTCGGTTATTTATTACTGTATTTTATACTCTTACTATATTTTAAATCTCTCCTGATTTTCTTTATCTCTTTGTTTCTCAGCCTCAGTATTATTGGCATTTTGAAGAAATTTAAGTGGGGAAGGGAGCATCCTGTGCATTGTAGAATATTTAGCTGTGCCCCTGGCTTCTATACACAGTTGGTGCCAGGAGAACCGTTCCTCAAGACATTACATTCAGACAATCTCCAGATATGGCCAGATACCCACTGTGAGGCAAAACCTGAGGATCAAACCATTACATCTAACCTATCATTCCATAAGTAGAATCCAGACCCTCCCAGAGGAAAAAAAAAAAAACGCTCAAATCTGCATCTACCTGGTGATACCACATCCCCCTTGCTTCCCTTAGGAAACAGTGCCTTGCAAGAGTAGCCAAAGCCCATTTTCTGTTTTCTCATTTTCTATTCATTTATTAGTTCTTAATGTCTTTTGAAGTACATTTGATACATAAAAATATAAATAAACATGTTAGAAAGCATAACAGTAAAATTAACACCTGTGAACCCACCATCCAACTCAAGAATGAGTGCATTACCCACCACATTGCAGATGCATCTTTGTGTCCTCTCTCTCCCTCCTCATGCTTCCTGCTGCCTATAAGCAATTACTACCCTGTGTTTTATGTTTATCCATTTTATTGTTTTTATTTTAAAAATTATTTTATCATGTTTCCCTATATAGTATACTGTTTAGAGTTACTTGCCCTAAGCTATGTAAAAATGATGTATATTAGTATATTGCAGTCTTCTGGGATTGCTTTTTGTTTTGCTTTTTTAAATTTAATATTATTTTTCACATTTAATCATGTTGCTTGTAGCAAGAGTTCATTTGTTGTAGCAGTAGAATAGTGAAGTAGGGACACAAATTAGATTTCTAGGTTCAAATCCTGGCTCTGCAGTTATAATATGGGGTAAATTACTTAAATCCTTTCGGCCTCTGTTTCCTCATTTGTAAAGGTAGAAATATTAATCCCCTCTGACATAAAAGTGAGTTAA